GGGTGGACGGTTCTGAGCAGCTCAGCTGCAGCGGTTCGGCTGCTAGCCGGGAGCACCTGTGGAGAGAGGGGCTCTCTGGGCCTAGGCCACAGGCCCGGTGGAACCCATAGCCTGTCCCAAATTGGGTGCAGGTTTCCAATATTCTGCTCCTAACAACCAGATATAGTGGGATTTTACCAATACGGAGTCAGGTAGACATATAAGGGTATTTAATAGGGAAAAGCCTTACTTACAGAGAGACCTAGCCAGCCGGCATGGCAGCAGTCTGCATGCAAGCCCAAAAGAGAAAGCGAAAGAGAAAACGCAGTCACACTACTTCACCCTGACCATGCCCTCGCAAGCGTGGTCAGGCACACCTGTAGCCAGCCCCTAAGTAGGCGTGGCTACAGCTTCCCCTACAGTAAAATGATCAGAGCATGATCAAATGATTGTCATTGTAATTGTGCAATGACTGTTCAACAGATGGGAACTAATAATGTCATATAGTTAGCAAATAGATACAAAATCACAAAACTCATGAACATCTCAAAGGAAAATTATTGACTTCAGGTGATATTCTACATCTTTTTGACTCAAGTATGTGTTATTCTCAGAAATCAAGTTCTTGAGAATAACCATGAATACCAGTAATAGGCTTTTCAGTTTGTGGCTTATGGGACCTCACTGGCTAACAACTCCAAAAGACACAATCATTTTTTGTCACTAGGCTTTTGATTTGTTGCCTTGTAGTATCTAGTTGGGGTATTTTCACCTCCTTACAGGGTAACTCTGTTCTAACATTTTAATATATGTTTATATATGTATATACATACATATGAAACTTTATATAGTAGTAGGGTTCAATATGAGTTTTTAAAATGTCTCCACATATACCATACTCTACTGCCCTCCCACTATCCACTGCAATTGACGTTTTCCTGTTCCATTATTCCATTTTAAATTATTATACCACTACATTTATTTTTCTTCCCTTCAAAACCCTCCCTGCCTATGGTACCTAACTAATTTCCTAACCTAGGTGGGTATTAAGAACCTTGCTATTTGTTGTTATTACTATAATTTAAATTGAAACTGGGTATGGCATTCATATAGTATTGATCTGGTCTGTCAGGTTAACTTGGCCAGTGGGATGTCTAATTATTCTATGTAAGTATTAAGATTGTATTTTCCAACAGTAGGGAAATGTCACTGATATTTTCAAGGAAATTATTTGAATCTATAGTTTTCGGCAATATAGCCATGCTCCCAATATTAATTTTGCCATTTACTCAGTTTAGAGTTCTATACATCTTGGATGGTCTCCTTCAAAGTATTCCTTCCAGGTTTTAAAGTTTTCAATGTAGAAAATTTTGACTTCTCTTGTTTTTCTCTAAGCACATTATTTCATCTTTAGAAGTGAATAGATTTTTTCTGACACTTTCTGGTGAAAGTCATTTTTGTAATACATAAAATCTACTATGAGCTTTTATTCCATACATCTGTTTACTTTCTGAAGCTGCCATCAGATGTAATCATATTCTGGTGATAACTTTTGTATTCTTGAATTACAGAAGCATGTAATCAGCAACAGTAAGAATTAGAATACTTCCTTCCTTTCTAACCCCCCTTATTGTAATCTCTTCTTTTATACTTTTAGTAAAGACTTCAAGCAAAATATTGAATAAGAGTAGAAACAGGAGAATGGACACCCTTGAAATTAAAAAAATAATTTTCCCATCTATTATAATGGTGTCTGTAAATTTATTATATTTAGCCTTCATTACATTTGGGCCTATTCATTTTTCCCAGATTTATGAGGGCATTTATCATGAAGTGATAGTGGTGTATGTAAAGGCCTGCTTCACCTCTATTGCCATAATAATGTCATTTGTGTCCCTTGGTCTCTTCCTGCTATCATACCTATTGAATTTAGCTTTCATACATGGTATTTATATAAGCCTTGCAGGAAAATAACATTGCCAACAATCATCTTACTATATGTTAAATTACATTTACACATATTATAATAAAAAGAAGTGTCTCTGTGCTCATCAGGAAAATTGTTTTATAATTTTGTGATTTTTTTCAGACTTTTTCTGATATTATATTACATAATATTTTTCCTTTCCTTTCTTTCCTACAGCCCCTCTCTTATAGCTATCATTGTTGTTTTCAAGTTCATGGCCTCTTTTTCTTTTTTTTAATCTCTATCTGTTTTTAGTTCTATGGTAATGTTGGCTCTGAAAATGTGTTTGTTAGTGTGTCCTTCCTTTGTATATTTTGAGTAGTTCAAAAACCATTGAAGTTAGCCATTATTTTTAGGTCTGGCACAATTAAACCGTGTGCCTGTCTTTTATTTCAGGGAGGCTTCTATTATTACTGTTGCTTTCAACAATGTTTAGAAATCGATCTACTTGACTGTGTTTTCAATTTCTATGAAAGTGCAATGTAACTCATCTTTTCTTCGATTATTTTCCCTCCACCCATATTCATCCACTTACTCGCTCACTTGTTCATTAATTCATGGATCTACTCCTAATTCCTATGTCTCCTTTGTGCTTCTTTCCTCACATAGTAGCATTATTTGTAATAGAACCTGGAGACAAACTAGATGCCCCTCAATGGAAGAATGAATAAAAATTATGATGCATTTACACAATGGAGTATTACTCAGATGTTAAAAATGACATCAGGAAATCTGAAGACAATTGTATGAAAAGTTTTTTTTTTTTAAATTCTGTATGAGGTAACTCAGACCCAGAAAAGTAAACATGGTATGGACTTACTTACAAGTGGATGTTAGCTGCAAATAAAGCATAACCATGGGGCAATCCGCTGCCCCAGAGAGACTAAGTAACAAGAAGGGCCCAAAGACGAATGTTTGGACTTCTCCAGGAAAGGAAAATAGAATAGATATCCTGGGTAAACAGGGGATGGGTGGGGTTGGGAACATGACAGATTGGGTTGGGCTTGGGATGGAGGGAGAGAGTAATCAAAGAGCTATCCTGACGGGGGCACATATGGGTGACAGAAACCTGGTACAAGGGAAATTCTCACAAACCTGTAAGGATGACACAGGATAAGTTACCTAGCAATACTGGATAGGTAGCAGCGTGAACAGGTCAATTCCCCTATAATCAAATGGGTGACTACCATAATTGTCATCATGTAGCCTTCATCCAGTAACTGATGGAAGCAGATGCATAGATCCTCAGCCAAGCACTGGACTGAGCTCCAGGAATCCTGTTGAAGAGAAGGAGGAAGGATTACACAAGCCATGGGGTCAAGGTCATCAGAAGGGAACCCACAGAAACAACAAAGCTGGGCTCAAAGGAGCTCAAAGATACTGGAATGACAGCCAAGGAGGCTGCATGGGACTGACCGAAGCCCTTTATATGTGTGTGGCACTTGTATAACTTGGTCTACTTATGGGACTCCTAGCAATGAAAGCATGGCCAGTTTCTGATGCTTTGCCTGGCTATTGTAAACCTATTCCTCATACTGGTTTGCCTTATCCAGACTTACTACAAGGGGAAGAACTTAGTCCTGCCTCAACTTGGTATGCCATGCTTTGTTGACACACATGGGAGGCCTGCCCCTTTCTGAACAGAAGCAGAAGAGGAATGAACGGGTTGGGGGCAGAGGGGAGATGGGCAGAAGGAATGGAAAGAGAGGAAGGAGGGGAAACTGCAGTCGAGTAGTAAAACAAAGGAATAAATTTTACTAATAAAAAGTTTTAAAAAGATAGACAAGAAACAAACAGGTTACATAGAAAAAATAAAAGGATTTTGTGGATCAGGAAAGAACAAAGGAAATAAACACACAAAAAAATGAGTCAAAGACAGATTATGAAGGAGAAGATACTGTTAGAATAATAAAACCCAAGTCTACAAGAAGCATATTCAAAGTCAATATCAGGTTTTTATCAAATGTAGAAGAACCAAAATAACTTTCTGTTTCTTTTCAGACCTTAGTACAATAAAATAAGAAATTAATAGCAAGAAAGCTGCATAATCTCCACAAATACATGGAGTTTGAATGGTTTACTGTTTAGCATGTCACTAAAGAAATGAGAGAGGAAATTCTAAAAAAAGTTCCTGGAGTTAAAGGTATCAAAGCACTGCATGTCCTAACATTTAAGTTATAATTGAACCAGAATAACAGTTTTTGATAATAGAAAGCAAGAAGTTCTCTATCTTCAGCAGTAGGAAAAGCAACTCATTACCTCATTAGAGTTCCATGGCAGATATACCTGGGCTATCTACATCTTAACATGACTACGTTTTTCAGACACACACTATATGAAGAGTACATCTAGTTCAAATAAAATGATCATAGAGCAAAGAAAGACTTGTTCAACACATAATAGAAAACATGCAGAATGTACCTATGACCCTGTAATGGAGAAGCAAATTTATAATGGGGCTTATGACACAATGAAGATGTTTTGAGAAATTGACATTTACATTCTAAAACAATTTCTGGGTTTTAAAAATTGACTGTTTGGGATTTCATACAGGAATTTGGTGTATCTTTATTATATCCACTCCTTGTTCCTCTTCCTTCCAAATCCTCTTGAGACTATGGTGTCACATAGCAATTGTATTGTCTTGGCTGTGCTTCCACTGTGACCATTTCCTAACAACAGTCTCAATTTCACGAAGCATTATAAAATATTCATTTCTTGTTATGATACATTGATTAGGTAATTGAGAGTTTTATACTTTGGTTGTAGTAATTTGACTTCTATTATTTTCCCGTGAGGTAAATTGTGGATTTTTCTTTGCAAACTTAACATCTATTATTTGTGATAAATTTGATTGTAACTTCAATGATAGATTTTTATTCAACAAATAAAAAGACAATAGACTTTTCAGATTTGGACATCTCTAAAGAGAACATTTTTATTTTTTTTAAAGTTGCTGGCATACATACACATGCACAAGATAAAAAATTAAAAGAAATTTCTCAGCAATGGACTGTCATGGACCATCTCCAAAGCACATAGGGCCGATGAGCACTTAGCAATCTTTCCCAGCTATTCGACACTTCAGTGTTCTGAGATGATATACAGTGAAGAATATATTAAGGCGTAGGCAGTAGGAAAGGTTAAACATTGCCAAAAACTTATTGGCTTTATTATTTGATTTTATGTATGGAAGATGTTCCCAGCTGGGGAATTTTTCCTTCATATGTGCTGTAGGATAGGCCTAAAAATCAAAACGAGAATCAGTTACTTATTGGTTATATTAGTAATGTTCCTTTCTACTTGTTTCTTATGTGTCCAATGATAGAAATACATTCATAAATGCTGCTTCCATCAAAGGTATGGATTTTCATGTATGTAGTCCAAGAGACCCTCAAGCAGTTAGTCTTTTAAAAGCTATGGCCAAGACTTATGTGCATTTTGTCCTAATATGTAATTGATTGCAGAACTAGTATTCCCCTTCAGTAGGAAACAGGAAAGGTGAGAAGTTTGTTTTTTAATTTGGCACAGTCGAGGAGGTGGTGCTACTTTCTCACTCAAGAAACTCTTACGTGTCCTCTATATTTCATAGAAGCTGATATATGCACCACTATTCTTTTATTTACTTCAACTAAATCTATTCTCCATGCAGTTTGTGCATGAACATCTCACATATGATAAGGATCAGATAGCAATTTACCATGCAGAGCTAAGGGATCACTATCAGAAGAGCTGAGCTCCTTATACTCCACCCAGGAAAGGGGTCCTCTAAGTACACACGAGGAAGAGCTGTGTTTCCTTCTGCTCCCTGGAGTGGGAGGTGGGGAGAAGTTTCTCAGGGAAGTTTGGACCTGCCAGGGACGTCTTAGTACACAGATTCTCAACCTTCTTAATGCTGCAACCCTTTAAAACAGTTTATGTTGTGTTGATCCCCAAATATGAAATTATTTTTGTTGTTACCTCCAGCTGTAATTTTGCTACTAATATGAATCATAATGTAACTATCTGTGTTTTCCAGTGGTCTTAAGCAAACCTGTGAAAATGTCATTGGATCCCCAAAGGGTTTGAGACGTATATGTTGAGAACCACTTTCTTAGGAGAAGATTGTCCACAAGATGACATATCTACATTTCCCTCTGGTGAGGTGGGGTATTACAGAATACTTTTAAAATTTAAGCAATTCACCTCACTTATGAATGACATTAACTGATAGGAAATTGCTTACCTTGGCGAGTATCCACCTAAGGTCATTCAGGAGTTCTTTGTTGTTCTCTTCAATTTCATTGGCTTTTGAAATTATAGTTTCTGGGGCATCTGGCATGGCACTCAGTTCAAGTGTGAGATGGTATAGAGGACTTGTCCAGGCACCCACATAATTGATCAACATTTTTAAATATTTTTTGTTCTAAGGAAACACAACAGAGCCATTGAATTAAAATAATTTCAGCATAGCAGGTTAGTTGCTTGTAATGTTTATGTGAAGAAGCTGAACTCAAACATCTTTTTCTATGTATACATCACACATATTATATAGATGTTACATAGTGTAGCAATGTACATTTGAAACAATTAGTCTATTATGATGCTTATAAATTAGTATTTTTCTGAGGTTATGTCAACATGTTTGTTTTCCCTATGAATTCCTAACAGCTATCTTCCCATTGAGATCTTCATTTGTTGGTTATCTTGCTCATCAATTGATAAGCCAGGTCTTGCCTGACTCAATAGAGGCCAACAAGATGTCACTCAGGAAAGATAGATGCCACCATTTAGGGACAAGTGGTCAAATAATTTTCACTCAGGGATTAATACACATCAATAGATCACAGCATTCATTAATGTACTGATTTCTAGGTAACTTTAGAACATTAGAACAAGGACACAATGAGGAAAGCATTGTATTCATTAATGGGCTTTCCCCTTGCCTCTGACAGAGCAGGATATTTGTTGGTATATATAGGTGAAAATATATAGGAAAAGCATTGGCTTTAACAACAGAATCAATGGGAGTCATAACAGAAATTTGCCCCCTGGAATTTAATGTTCATATGTGACTGAACTATTCACTCTATTGATGTTTGTTAGTATTCCCAGTGGTCATGAAAATGAGAGTAGAGTAGAGCCTATTAATTACAATAGAAAGATGCAAAAGGCATTGGGGAAAGGAGCAGGCAAATGGTGATAGCTATACATGGAGCATGATGTCATGTGATTAACATTGATGTCTTACTTGGATGAAGTGCACACTTGAATTCTTAATTGCTATACAAGTGTGAATAAAGCTTTTCAAGACATCAATTTCACTTTTTACTCAAAGAATATCACCTTCTCTTCTGTCTTTTCAAGTTTCAAGTAGAACAATGCTAAGAGAGTGCTTTGTGATATGTTTAGCAATACTATAGTGCTCAAGAAACATTTCTCTTATATCTCTGTCCTAATTTTCCCTATTGTTGTCATATAATATTCAATTTAAATCATATTCAGATATGCTATTAGAGGGAGACAAGGAGATGATTGCTGTCAGAAAACAGAACTGCTGTAATATGTAGAGCTTCTCATCATGAATTAGGACATTGTTGCATCCTAAGGAACATAATAATTGTGTCTCAGAGTACTATTCTTCTCATCTGGCTTTCAGTTAAGGCATTGACAATTATAGGGAGATGAAGAGATGGATTAAAAATAAAAATAGAACTAAAACAGATCTGAAAATCAAGAAGAGATGGTGTAGTATTCAATAATGTAGAAAGTCACCATGAAGAACCAATTAGCAATATATAATTTATATAGCTACATTTTCATCAGTTAAGTATAAGTGAGTTTATAACCATAAATAGCCAATTTAGCTCAAAGTGTCCTATAAAATAGTGAGTGAAATTTAAGTGGCAAGACATTGCTAGATGAACTATTTTGGGATCTGCTACACTGTTATTAGGGATTTGATTTTATTTATAATTTATTGATGGTATAGTACGATTTTTTAACATAATTTGCCTCCATTATTTTCTGTGTGTATGATTATCACATTTATCATAATGGCTGCAATAACTAACAGCATCACAAATCCAGTGTATTGCTTCTGCTGTTTAATGAAAAACCCAAAATGGAAACTCACTTTGATATTTACATGTTCAGTTCCATGATCCGGAGGGTTTGTACTATTAGCATGGCAGTACAGTCTTGCCCTGAGAACAGCCTGATCCCTCCTATTCATTTTTGTAAGCTGCATGTAAAAACAAAAATTCAGTTAGAATTCAGAAAGTATATAAATGAGTTCATGACCAGAATATTAATGCATTTTGATGGATTTGTAACTTTTATCAACAAGTACCCATAAAAAAATTAAAGAATTAAGAACTGCCCATCACCCAATTCTGTGTCTATTAGATCTGCAAATTAATTTGGCATTTCACTAACTTTTGAACCATTTAACTCCTGTTTTATTCTCCTGTCTTCCCACTCTTCCTAATAGTTACTATTTGGGAAGCAAACACAAACGAAGCAAATTTTTCAAGGAGTGTATTAATTATCATGTTTATTATTTCAGCACAAAGCCATCACACATATTTATTACTATTCCTATTTTCTGTCAAAAATATTGAAATTTCTTTACCCAGACATAAGAATTTCAAATGTATTTAGTTTACACTGAATACATATAGCTGTGTAATAAAAATATGTAATAGTTTTAGAATAAAATTTTGCTCATTGTGACAAAATTACTCATGAAAAATAGGGTATTTTGTAGAAAATTCTAAGCAATGAAGAATCAAAATATACAAAATTATTAATTAATTCTCATGTGTTATATTATTCATTGTATGTTTTGTGAAATATTAAACTTCATACTTTAGGATATCTAATTTTTTTCTAACAATCAGCTAATTCAAGAAAGGTTAATGGACTTTGTCAAGGACTTTTAGGATGCAGAAAAACTGCTGAATGTTAATTTACTTTAATGCTTTCTCCTATACGTTAAGATTGGTGGCACGAGACTCCTTAGGGGAAGCAGCTGGAAAGAAGTGAGGTACTTACCAGATTCGCAAATGCTTTGGAAGAGAATTCATTGTGGAACTGAATCATGTTAAGGGGAAAAAATAACATCCAGTCAATAAAATCCCGACATGAATGCATATTTATTCCAAACATAGACATATTCTCTTGATTTCCAGCATATTGAAGAGTTGCCTATTTTCTATTCCTTTGTGTTTTCTGACCTTGAGTAATGACTTGTAGCAATCAGCAAGAAAAAAAGAGAACCACTTCTAATCATGTCCTGATACTGAACAAACCCTACCACTAAAAATCTTTAAATCACAATTCCTAGTATTTAGGGGGTTCTTGAAAGTCAGAGTATCTCTCTCTCCCTCTTTCTTTTCTTGCCTCCCTCCTTCCCTCCCTTCTTTCCTTCTCTCTGTCTTTCCTCTTCCTTTCTTTCTTTTCTTCATTCTTTCTTGCATTTTTACAATCATTTGGTTATCTCTGTTTCAAATGTATAGTTTACTGAAGCACCTTACTTCTACAGTGCTAAATAAGGATGAACAATAGAAATCTGTGATCCAGAATGCACCATCAGGAGTGTTCTTATCCCAGCCACATTGTAAGGATTTCTACCATAATTTTTTTAAAGAGAAATAAAATTGGAGAAAATACAGAAAAATCATTAGACTCTTTGAAATTTCATGTAACTGTCCCATTGACCCTGTCACTGTTTCAGTAGTTGGTGTTTCCTTTACCAATGAAAGTGCGGTTTTTTTTTTTTTGTTTTTGTTTTTGATATTTGGGCCATGACATTTAGTGTCTCAGTTTCCAGTGCATTTAAAACATTAGAATGAAGGTTAAGGTACTTACAAACTCTTGATGCATTTGTTCAGCAAGATCACGGATATTTTTAGCTCTGTTGATGGCACTGTTAAAGGTTTCCACAAGGGGGTTCCAACATCCCCCCTCTTCTGTATGACATTCTGGAATAGATGCAGCTTTCTCCCACAAGAGCAGGTTCAACACCAGCAGCAAGAATGTCCCTGCTACTTAGAAATAAGAGCCTCTTAGGGATGATGCAGTAATACTAGTTTTTCAAGGTTTGACCACTTCGGGAAAGTCTTATCAGGTCAAAGATTTCTTTACTTCCTGACTTGATATTAAATGACAGATAAAATCACTGTGAGTACTTGGGCAATTAACCCTGTTTTCCTGTATAGTAGTTTGAGGAACAGATGGCTTCCCATATTAGAAGATCCCCATGGAGGGCCTCACCCTACCTGGGGAGCAGAAATGGGATGGGATGGAGGTTAGTGGGGGTAGGGGAGAAGGGGAAGGAAAAGGAACTGCGATTGAAATGTAAAACAAGCTTGTTTCTAATTTAAATTAAAAAGAAATGCAAAAAAATCTAAAAATGTAACAATGTACTCCTATTTCATTTCAAAAAATAATATTTTTGATACTATCTCCCATTTCCTCCCATATATCACCTACAAATTATGGCACTTTGTCAGCACTCCTTGCTCTTCTTTTAGTGATGTTATTTGGCTTGTGCTAAACTGGAAAACAGTACAAGACAGAATCTGCCATTTGTCTACTTCAGGTTTCAGACCTTAAAAATTTTTCAGATTTATTCTAATGTGAAAGCTCATATATAATACCCAGGATCAAAATTCTTTTTTTTTTCTGCCTTGAGATAAGGTCAGTAGAACCCACTGCTTTTATATACTTGATAATTCCCAATTTTGCATACCCCGAAACATTATCCTTTTTAGCTGCATTATTTGTTCGGTAAGATATCCTTCCTACACATTGGGAGTTGTTTAAAGATCCCCAACATTTCCATTCATTGGATACCAGTAGCACTGATCTTCTTCTCTCCCTTCAATGGAGACAAGACAGACTAACCCTGAACATTTGCAATATGTCTCCAGGTAAAGACTTTGAGAACTACTGATCCGATTGTTTCTTGTTCTGTTGTACAGTTGCTTTCAAGAAAAAAAATAATTTTAAAAGATCTTAGAAAGTCAATGAGGAGTTCTTCTCCTGGAAAGCTATCAACAAATATCTCTTCACACTGCATAAAACATCAAAGATTCCAAAGAAAAAATTCCAATAAAGCAACCTCAGTGTATCACTGAACTTAATACTTTTACTTAGAGACACATAGGGGAGAGTTTACTTACAGATGTGAAGTTTACTCAAAGGCAGCTCCATCTCTAAGAAGTTTCCAAAGAGGATGAGTGCTCTCTGGAGAACTGACTCACTGGAGTTGTACATTTGGCTAGTTGTCCTCCTATATATTCTAGTAGATTGCCCCAAGGGCATACACAGCCACTAGACAGAAAGAAGTCACATGCAGAATCCCTCATTAGTGACCTATGTCTGTCTATCTTCAGGGAATGCTAGCAGTTTTATTACCCCATACTTATCTGTGTGTGGATTTTTTTTTCTTTTACTTCTTTTCTACATGTTGATTCTTGCCCAAATTATTTTTGATATCTCTGAAACCATCTCAACTGCCTGATGACAGATGGTCATGTCAGACCAGGAGGAAATAGTTGCTCATAATTACTCCCCTCAGCAGAAAGAGTACAGGATAGGTAGGATGTTAGTTGGGGGGGGGCAGGAGAGGAGGGGATGGAGAGGGAACTGGGATTGACATGTAAAACAGTCTTGTTTCTAATTCAAAAAAAGAAATAGAGAAAAAAATAATTACTCCCCTCTCCTTAGACTGTTACATTCTTTCTTTCATCTCTTTCATAAAGTTTTTGGACAGACAGGGATTCCTTATTGAATATTTGAGCATCATGCCACAGCATTAATAAATTATCAGTAGTGTTATCATGAATCTCTGCCAGTAATCACTGACTACTGTGACAAGTATTTCTCTATAAACTAAGATGACATTTATAGTAATATAGTAATCTACATGCCAACATTAGATGTTTAGAAGTCAGTTTGAAAGACATCAAATATATTTAACAAAAGATTCCTTTAACTCCTCTTGAGAAGCTATGACTTCTCACATCAGTGATTGTACATTGGATTAAAGTTCAAAATATGGTTTATTTCCTTAGAATTGACCTTAAATATATTAAAAGATTGTTCATTTCACCAAAAACATTTATGTCACTATTGCCCTGGTAAATGTAGTTTTATACGCTTGCTGCTATCATTAGCACTTGAGCCACTGATGACAGTTCTCTGAAAAACAACTCCATAGCAGCTTCCAGACTACGACAGCCAGTTGACACACAGATACTTTCTACCTCAAATGCCAACTGAATTTCCTCATATTGTTGAAACAGAGTATTTACTGCTTAAATAATTTAGGTCAACCAGTTAGCTCTGATGTGCATCCAAAAGGCAAGACTCGTGTGAAGGACCTCAGAAGCCTGACTGTCCAATATCTCTTGGGAAGGTAACTCACCCTGATCTCAGGAATTTAAGTCAATAACCAAAAGGTTCTCAGACATCTCTTTCCCTTCATATATGTACACTCTCACAGATTCTTTAACAACTCTATTTACTATCCTTTCCAATTCCTGTCCAAATGAGTACAGTGTGTAAAGGGTTGGATTTATATAATGGAAGCTTCACAGTGGTTCAACATTTCTATAGACCTACCGTTACTTGTTACAGGAAACAACAAATTTACTTTCTGATTCTGCATCTATTCAGACACTAATCACATCTTAGCATCGGTGTTACACAGTAAAAAGTCTCAAGTATATATCAGTTGTTTCTTCCAAAGCACAGAATTATGTAATATAGCCGGGATGGCACCATTACTTCTTTTCCAAGCTTACACTTTGCACACAGCTCCATGAATTGTTTATGGTGTTCCACCTGGGACTCTGACATATGATTAGGAAGAGTTTGCATCTGGCTACAGGTCCAAATGGAGCAGAGTATATTCAAACGTGCCAAAGCTACTGCCCCTCTAGATGACTTCCACCTTCTGAGCAATTCTTGCTTAGTCTTATGCCCTGGAGTTGTCTGTCTGTCAACAGTGTTTTAGAGAAGGGCACTGGTCTGGATGAGTAATCTCCTTCCTTCAAACTCCCCCTTTCTCACCCACACAAGTTCAACACAAATTTCACAGTCTCAAGAAAACATTCAAATCCTTATGTGTAGCTTGTTTCTCTGCTGCACATTCATGTCTAGCATCCCTATCCACATGAAAGAATTGTACACAGAGTACTCTCTGGGGGTAGAGCTAACTGCCTACACCTAGGGAAAGCTATATCATTTTATGTTCACCAATCTATCTCCTCATTCTCCAAGTGTTGGCTTTAGTCCACAGTGATTTTAGAAAGCCATGAATTCTAGTGTACTTGGATAAGAACCAACGTCTTTTCTTTAAGATTCCTTTGAGATGTCCTCATGTCTTCTGTAATGTCTTCACTCAAAGGTAATATTAGTCAATATCAGATTTTATCTGATGTGTTGTCTCTCTAAGACATCTGTAGCAGGGTGTTCAGTGGAAACCTCTCTGTCATCTTCTACCCTGTGTAGCACTGTTATTTAGTTTATAGCCTTTCATTTCCTCATGACCACCACATCTTTCATGTGCTCAACATTTCCACTAGAAATTCTAGATTGGTCATAGTGCAGATCCTGCCACATTTGACTTCCTTTGAGCCTTGTTCTCAGCTTTTTCCCTTTCTTGTCTCAACTGTATTAGTACTTTATAAATAATATTTAAATTGCTTCCCATCACTTATATCCTACCCCTTCTACTGAAAGTCCATTTGAAGGTTAGTGTATCCTGCAATTTTGGAGCACTAGTAATATAAATCTGGGGGCTTCAAAATAATTTTTGATGTTTCCTTTTTTTTCTGCCTCTATGGTACAAATCAGTTATGATTTTCATACAAAAGAGGATATTTTGCTGCTTATAGAGTATTTTTGAAAGTTGTTAGGGAGATAAATTCTGCTACTGAGCTTTTCTTTTCAGATTAGAATGTATGCAGTCTGCATTCATTAAGTATGAATGCCATTTTAGTGATATATGTGCAATTATTAATTATTTATTCATCATTGGATAATAACATATGAAGAGATTATTAAATCAGTGATGATTTCTGAAAATATTGGCTTGGTAAATTTGAATTGCTGTGACAAAAGTGTCCAAGAAAAACATATTAAATATAGTAAAAGTTTATTTTGGTTCATAGTTTCCAAGGGTTTAGTCAATTGTCCCTTATTCCTGTGACAGCATTATGGTGAGGTCAGTGGGTAAATGTAATCTATTTGCATATCCATGGTCAGAAAGAAGAGAGAGGGAGTGAGGGAGGGAATGAGAGAGAGAACTTCAATATAGTTTTCAAAATATATACTCATTGATAAAACTTGCTTCTACCAGGTCCTAAGTTTTTACCACCTCACTGTAGTGTTACAAACTGAAGATTACAGTTTCAAAACAGGAGCTTTTGGAAACTACTGCAGATAGAAAGTGTTACATAATGTATTGTAAACCCTTAGAAAGCTAGACACAAGTTAAAGAGAATAGACAGTTCTTGTGTGCTGTTTAAATCCAATGAAGAAAAATGAAGACTGTGACTTCTGTCTTGTTATTGCTTAACAATGTTAATTCTCCTCTTCTAGCACAGTACAAACTTAAAAGCACCACTTGATTTGATTTAGCTTAATGGTATTTTTCATTATTTTTTATTAGTTCAAATTAGGAACAAGCTAGTTTCACAAGTCAATCCCTTCTCCTTCTCGCTCCCCTTCCCTCCCACCAATCCTCCCCCCACTTACTCCCCTCCCATCCACTCCCCAGGCAGGGTAGGGCCCTCGAAGGTGGCTTCCCAAAATCCTCCACATCATCCTGGGCCTGGCCTAGGCCCTCCCCCATGTGACCAGGCCGAGAGTGCATCCGTTCACTTGGGATGGGCTCTCAAAGTCTCTTCTTACACCATGGGAAAATACTAATCCACTACCAGGGGCCCCCTAGAATGCAGAGGCCTCCTAGTTGACATCCAAGTTCAGGGGTCTGTATCAGTCCTGTGATGGCCTCACAGACAGCAGTCTGGAGTCCATGTGCTCTCCTTGTTGAGGCCAGCTGTTTCTATGGGTTTCACTAGCCTGGTACCGACCCTTTTGATCTTCATTCCTCCCTGTCTGCAAATAGATTCCAGAGTTCAGTTCAGTGTATATCTATGGGTGTCTGCCTCTGCTTCCATCAGCCACTGGATGAGGGTTCTGTGATGGTATACAAAGTAGTCATCAGTCTCATTATAGGGGAAGGGCATTTAGGTTATCCTCTCCACCATTGCCTATATTGTCAGTTCGTGTCATCCTTGTAGATCTCTGGAAATCTCCCTAGTGCCAGATCTCTCCTCAGACCTATAATGGCTCCCTCTGATATGGTATCTCTCATCCTTCTCTCCTCTATTCTTCCCCAGACTCAATGTTTCTGCTCTTCCATTTCCTCCTCTCCCTTCCTCTTCTCCTCATCTCATTCTGGCAGCTCCTTCTTCCCTACCCTCATGCTCCCATTTAGCTCAGTAGTTCCTGCCCCTTCCCATTCTCTGGGGTCCATGCATTTTTTTCCCTTAGAGTCTTTCTTATTTCCTAGTTTCTTTGGTGAAGAGGATTGTAGGCTGGTAATACTTTGCTTTATGTCTTAAATTAATTCATATATGAGTGAGTACATACCATATTTGTCTTTTTGTGACTGGCTTACCTCACTCAGGATGGTTTCTTCTAATTCTATCCATTTGCCTACAAATTTCAAGATTCCATTGCTTTCTTCTGCTGAGTAGTCCTCCATTGTATAAAGGTACCACATTTTCTCTATCCATTCTTCAGTTGAGGGGCATCTAGGTTGCTTCCAGGTTCTGGCTATTATAAACACTGCTGCAATGAACATGGTTGAACATAAGTCCTTGTTGTATGAATGTGCATTATTTGCGTATATGCACAAGAGAGGAATTGCTGGATCTTGAGGTAGACTGATTCCCATTTTTCTGAGCAACCGTCATACTGATTTCCAAAGTGGTCTTACCAGCAAGGGAGGAGTGCTCCTTTTTCTCTACATCTTCTGCATCATAGATTGTCATTGGTGTTTTTGATTTTAGCCATTCTGGCCGGTGTAAGATGGTATCTCAGAGTTGATATTATGTGTACAGTGCTCTGTCTGCCTGTTGGCTTGCCTGTCAGAAGAGGGCATGAGATCCCATTATAGTTGGTTGTGAGCCATCATG